ATAGTATTTCACAGACTGGAATTGAAATACAGGTCTGTTTAAAATTTAGTTTAACTCGTTTTAATTGTCAATTGATACAAGGTCAGAGTACAGTATTTGCACGTTAAATGTGTTACACTATAAATGTCTGTAATATAATAAATCCATGCTTTCTGACTTGCTCATACGCACTTACTCAATTCCAGAGAAGAAGAGCTATCAACACAATCTCACAAGCCATCCAATTTTTTCTTCTCAATCTACATGTAACTAAAAAGTGCAATCTTAACTTCCAGAGGAGAAAAAGTCACCACACAAAATCTGATCATGCAGTACTTAAAATGCAAACATGGGAAAATTTTAGTAAGGATTTCAATTCCTTCTCATAAATTTGGTTGCTTTGATCAGGTTGGGAGTTGAAGTTTTAACCTTGTGTGTGTGAAACTACAATGTCCAGCATCCACCACGATGAACCACGTCTTATTAATTTCGTACAGCATATTTGAAAATTGCAGCTGTGAGTTAAGACACTGAGCTTTTCATCTGACAAGCAGAGTTTCAGAACAGTCTAACTCTGATTCTAGACTGCATATGAACTACTTATATAATACTGTGAGATGGATTCTCAGACCAGAACTGTCAATCAGAACTGTCCAATCACTTCCCAGGAGTTCACAGGAACAATCACCAGGTTCAAGTTGATTGCCTTAGGCTGGGATCTACTCTTTAAAATGCTCCTGTGGGTTGTGAAATAAAATCAGATAATCCATCTTACATGACTGCATCAAATCTGAATAAGTATGATCAATAAGTACTTGTTCATCTTATACATGGAATTCTAAATATGGCTCTCAGTTCACAATTTACATTTATATAGATCCCAGAACTGTTTGCCAGGTGGTGAACTGATGCTTCCCCAACTAAAAATGCTCACAGCTACGCTGATTTAACCCTTTCATGTTGATCCAAATAATACACAAAAATACATTTAAAAGATTGGCACAGACGCAAGTCCTATTTTGCAAAGTGTCACTGAACCAAAAGGATGTCATAAGTATTTCTCTGCAACACTGAATTTTGGAAAGTGGGATTGCCTGAAACACAGTCCTTTAAACAAAGCTTTTAAAAGAAATTTACCAAAACTGAACAAAACAGAAAGGAAAATACAGAATACACCGACTCAGCAGGCACTTTCATCGGTAAGTATCAGCCTTAGATGTCTCCTAGCTATTTACCTCTTTAGATAATTAGTCTTTGTTTAATTGGATCATCTTTCAACATCTGATTTGTTAAACCTGATGACTTATCCATATGAAAATAGTCAGTGGTCACAGTATGTTCAAATGAAGTAGCCAGCCAAAAAAATGACGCTGGTTGTAAAAGCAAATACATTGAGAAAACCTCTGAAGCCACTCAGAAAAATCAATAATAACAAACTTCTCAAGAACAGTCAGACTGTATGCTAATTGTTTGTCTCTCTACAAGTGCTGCTGGATCTGCTACATTTCTCCAGCTTTCTCTGTGGTTGTAACAAAGTGATACTAGATATTACTATATAATGCAAAAGGAAACAAGATAACAGATGTTGTAGCAGCTAGAACATCAGAGATAGCTAGGTTAACAGTGCAAATTTTAAATACAATAACAAGGAATTTTTAGGTCAGGAGAGAGCTTGTTGCTTAGAAAAGGGGGATGATGGCCACGTGCAACAAGAGAAAGAGCTTCACGGTGAGTTATTCAGCTAGACTTGAAAAAGTAGGAAAATTAATTATAAAGTGAAGGTAACTAACAGACTGATGAGTGATAGTCTATTCAGCGTTAATTGGCATAGAAAATGAATGACAATTGTATATAAGGATTTCCTTGTAATTCAAAGGCAAGATAATGCAGACTAATGCTTTCCGATATACTTTCAATTTGGTAAAGAAAGGATGTGTTAGGATTCAGGTTAAATCTTGGGATGTGCTAAGAATTGAGCTGAAAGGTAAACAACGGAAGACATGTATCCGGGGAAGGACGAAGTCCTGAGGTGTCCCAGAGGTATGTATTGGGGCCACAACAATTGTGGATTTATTTCAACAACTAATTCAAAACCTCACTGAAAAAGTTGCTCAAATGTGTAAATAATAACAAACTAGAAACTGCAATTTGCACAGGACAGCTCAGGGATCACAAAATAAATTGGAGAAAGGATGTAGATAAAACAAAATTTAATGGAGACAGTTGCACAGTACTGCACACATAGGAACAGAAGATTGGAAAGGAATGTGGTTATCTAAGTGACGTTGAAATAGTTAAGGAGAAAATTAAAAGACCTAGAAGTTGGTTAAAAACTACTTCTTAAAAATCTGCACAACTTCTCTTGCTTACCTCTGACTACAGGTTCCATGTGATTTCACAAAGCACAACCAAAACATCAATGTAATGCTGAACTATTATAACAAAATAGTTGAATAAAGGAACAAATCATTTTCAATCTACATTGCTTCAGGTGTTGTGTCCAGTCTGGTCAACAAGACACTGGGAGACATTGTGCATTGGATGTAGCTCTGCAAAATGTTAACAGGATGCTGATTCCTCATGTTAGAAAACTGTATTGAAGGAAAGACTGGAGAAACTTGAATCTTTTAAAATAGAGCTGGGACAAACCGTAGAGATAAATAAAGTAGTAAAAAATATGGAGACCATGTTAAAACAAACTGCGATACTATAAAGAAGACATATATTCCTGCTAGTAAAAGTCAAATTTAAGACTGATAGAGAATTCTGCAGAAAATGATTAATAATTGGAAAAGACTGGAAGCAAAAATCCTGAAATTATTCTAAGAATCAATTGGAAGCAAAAGTTACCCTTACAGGGAAATACAAATTCAAATCAGGTATGACTCCTGCCTACAGCCTGAGATTATACATGAAATATAACCCTTTAATGAGGTATCAGAGGGCAACCGTAGCCTGTTGGACCACATCCCTACAAGCGTTAGACTGCCAAAGAGGACCAAGCACAGGAACCTGGTTTGGTTTGAAATGTTGTGGGTCTGAGAAGTGCGCAGCCTGTCTAAAATGGGTCACTGGATTCTGCGCACCATATTGATTTGTACTGTCAAAAATTTTCAAAGTGTTAAATCAAGAGTTGACATAATACATACCTGATATTAATACAGAAGATATTTTGATGGCTGGTAGAAAGTGAATGGTGTCGTTATGGAGAATAGAGAACTGATAGCTCAACTGTAGTATTTGCTCACAACAGTCCAAAGATGGCACTGTGACATTGGTATCAGCAGTGTAACAGATCAATAACACTAACAACAGAAATAGTTATATACATTTCTTTTCTCCCCATTCCATACCCACTCGCCCAATAAGTTCTTGCAATTTGCATTATTGTCCTCCTTTGTAAATTCGGCAGAGACTGTAGTTCAATTGTAATGTCACTGGACTAGTAATCCAGAGGTCCATCTGTCCAGTCTAATGCTCTGGGAACATGGGTTCAGATCCCACTATGGCAGCTGGTAGAATTTAAGTTCATTTAAATCTAGAATATGAAGTGAGTCTCAGTGATGGTGTTAAGCCTGACAACAACTGTGAACTGTTGTTAAAATCCACCTGGTGCACCACCTTGCTTTAGGGAAGGAAATCTGTCCAGAAACTGAACTAGGCTAGCTATCTAGCCTCTCACCAGCTATAAATTCTGAAGCAAATAACTCACCTCCTTAATTCCCACAGTCTATAAGGCACGAGTCAGGAATGTGATGGAATATTTCCCACTTTTTTGTATGACTTTACCTACAAAAAAGATTCAAGAAGCTTGATATCATCCGGGGCCAAGCAGCCCACTTCATGAGCACCATATCCACAAATGTTCACTTCCTCCACCATTGACATACAGCAACAATGGCACGCATCATTTGCGAGATGCACTGCAGAAATTCACCAAAGCTCCTCAGACAGCATTATCCAAACCCACAACCACTACCATCAAGAAGGACAAGAGTGGCTGATAAATAAGAACACCATCACCTGCTAGTTTCCCTCCCAGCCACTCACAACTCTGAGGAAATACATCGCTGCTCCTTCTGTGTCACTGCGTCAACACCCTGAAACTCTCTCCCTAACAGCATTGAGGATGTAACGACAACAAAAGGACTGCAGTGGTTCAAGAAGCCAGGTCTCCACCGCCCTGAAGGCCAACAAGGAACAGGCTGCATCTGATGAATGAACAAAAACTAAATGTGCAACCTCGCTAAGTCATCATAGGAATTTAGGTGTAGGAAATGGTATCACAGAGTGTGGCACAATGGAAGGTTGCTCTTCAGCAACTGAGGCACATCATGACAGCCGAGTAAATGAAACTTCACTCTGCATTCAACTGTGTTATACTTGCACAAGGAATGTTGGATAGTGACAATGAATGCCTGAAACAAGTTGTCGTCCCATTCTTGACTATAAACATTCTTCAACATGAGCACAGATTCCAAACAAAAATGCTAAAATACGTAACTACAAGCATGTATCTAATAATTTAACCAAACAGAATATGTTTCTAAAATATATGTGAATAACATTAAAGGTAAATTTGTGTTTACAAAATTATTCTACTGCTACCCTGTCGGTATCAAAAGAAAATGCATGCAAAAGTCAAAGTATAACCATTGCCTAATCTCATCACATTCAATGATGAATCCTCAAGACAAAAATGCAACAGCACAAATGTATTTTAGCCTTAAAGGTACTTGAAACTACAGGATATTGAATACTTCTCTGCAAATCCCAACATGAGCACACTTAAAACAAATTGTCCAAATGGCGTATAAAGTACAGCATTTTCCACATTTAAAAAAAAAATAATGATGCTTCTTCACATGATGCTTCTGAACTGGCCATCTGCAATTTGTTTCAGCATGATATTGTTAATAAAAAGTTAACATGGCTGCAACCATTAAGATTTCAAATACCAACAATACTGAATAAAGAAATGAATGTTTCCTTCAGTTTATGATGCTGTCATCTCTTCCTACCTTCACTGTCTTCTTTGGCCATGTTACAATTGGGACCCCGGTGATAGCCAGCTTCTGATCATCATCAGCATGTTCCTCCAGCACAGTCTGCATTCACGACAGGGAGAAAAAGAAACATTTTGTAAAGAAACATTTTGTAAATAAACTACACCGAAATTAATTTATTATACACCAGTCACAGCACCAAAATTAAACATTGACTTCTTTTTCGTGAAGAATTTAACAGACCTTCCAAAACATTGTTCAGAGGTGGTTTGGAACACAGTTATGCTGTTTCCATAATTGAGTTGTATTTAATCTGGCTTGTCTTTGCAAGGCAATTGATCTAATACTTAAGTAAAAGCAAAATACCATGGATGTGATACATCTGAAATTAAAAATCAGAGAATGCTGGAGAAACTCAACATCAATTCCAAAGAACTCTTTGTTTAAAAAAAAATTCTACTTTCTCCTTTTGCCTCATGTTGTCAAGTGTTTTTTTTTCCCCCACTGGTGCAGTCAGGTGAACAACCTGCTCCCAGCACTGAAAATGTTACAAGATCATTATAGACATAGATGATCATTAGTCCAACTTAATTCACTTATCCAGAAGTAGCAATCAGTTCCCCTAGTGCACCATCTAACTGTTTCTTAAATAAGGGGGGAATTCTGCCTCACTAACATATTCTACATCTTTAAGAAAGTGATGATCTCAGTGAACTGTTGCAAGCCCATGATCTAGTGTACCTTGATGTCCAAGGAGCCTTTGACTAAGCTAATCTAAACTCAAAAGACACAGTGCGAATAATTACATTGATATTTACGTTTTGTTATGACATAGTGCGCATTTGTTGGCAAATTGAGTTACATGGGGCACCCTTAGATATCACTCAGCTCCACTTAACGTACCTTTTGTGGTCAGGACTCCTGCGGTTCCACTTATTGGGATTTTACCATGCCATGTGCTGAGAGATATATTGAAACTTGGAGCAGCTGCCGCAGTGACTCAATTGGAAAGGGTCACACTTTAGGTTCCTCCCATAATTTACACCAAAGGATTGGAACCAGTGTAAAATCCTCAATCTGATTGCATGAGAAAATGTTTAACATGACCTAAATTCAAGTGCAATCCGCATTTTAAGTGGAGGGAGACACCAAGCAGACATGTACTGTACTTAACCAAATAAGTCTGTATTGCACTGTGATTGCCACATTTGAAATGTACTCCAAGGTATGCCTCAGCCCTTAATGCTCAAATCCTCTCCCAGTTCTCTCTTCTACTCTTTGCTCTTTCAAGTCTTTTCTTAAAAATAGTCTCTTGAAACAAGCTTTTGATCATTAGCCTCAAGGTCAAACTTTGCTTTATAATGTTGCTGGAAAGGCTCAGCAGGTCTGGCAGCTTCTGTGAAGAAAAAAAAATCAGAGTTAATGTTTTGGGTCCGGTGCCCCTTCCTCAGAACCGGACCTGAAACGTTAACTCTGAATTTTTCTTCACAGATGCTGCCAGGCCTGCTAAGCTTTTGCAGCAACTTCTGTTTTTGTTCCTGATTGACAGCATCCGCAGTTCTTTCAGTTTTTGCTTTATAATGTTCCTACGAAGAACTTTGGGATGTTTTATGATGTTACGGGTGCTATATAAATACAAAACAGAGTTGTAATGCATGTTTACAGATTTTATGACAAGTATATAAGATGGTTCAGGGAATAGAAGAAAATTAACCAATAGATTACTTGCAATTCAAAAATATGAATTGATGTACAGCGCGCAGATTTAAACTATGCTTAGGTCAGGTATCTTTCACAAAACAGCATTGAGAAGTGAGCATGCAGAGTAAAAGGAATAATGATAGCAAAAACCTTAAAATCATTTAAGAAATAATTGGATACTAGTACTGACTGTCAGGATGTTTCTGAATAGGCTTAATGACCTTTTTTCTTCCATTGTTTATTTCTCAGTAGTGAAATGCATGTTCTTAATATTATCCTCCAAAATGCTAAAAACTGAAGTAACTTGTGTCCCCTCACGAGATGCTGCTGAGACTTATCCTTCTGAACCATTCTTTAAAAATCTGCCTGATACTCGGGAAAACGTTATGGCTGTGAACCCAATGTATCTTTCCAAATACAAAACAAGAAAAATATCGATTTGCATATTTAAATTACGTCTAGAGTATCAGCCTACTTCCCCCTTACTTCCACACAATCTTCTAGTAAACATGACCATAATTCGGGGGGATTCCTATGCAATGGAAAAGATAAAGTTAACTGCATTATAAAGCTCTCTAGGGAGACAGCCACTTGCTTCTTTATGCACAAAATCAATTAATGAACTAAAGCGAGGTGACTCGAGAGTCTGAAAGAATAGGGAACTGCATTTAAATCACTTTTTTTTAAAATACAAAGAACATATATTTCAATTTCTACATATTTCACAAACTGTTCTTCCACTTTTTAACTAGGGCAGATCCAAATCATTTGCACTATTTGGACATAATGTTACACTCAAAATGAGTCAGCAAAAGGCTTTGTGTCTGGTTCTTTCAGGTCCCCTTCCCATACACCCACTGTAAAAACAGCAGGGCAATCTATTTAACTTTGTTGCAGTGGCTGCTCTTACCAAGGAGGTAGTTTACATGTTTTGTTGCTGACATTTTGCACAGAGGTGAAATTTAGTCCATCCTGCACCATTCACAAAGACTCTGCAGTTCTTTCTGCTAGCCAATACATCTCTGTTCAACAGCTGCTTTATAATTCTGTCCACTGAGCCTTTTCTTTTTTCACTGCCATCTGATACTTTTCCCTACAAGCCCTTTTCCTCTTGCTGTTTGGTCCCTTACCCGTCTCAACTTGGAATCTCAATGGAGTAGAATTATTTAACAAAGCCACATTGCCTGCAGTTGTTAACGTAGCTGAAAAGATCTGTATGTTGTTTGAAGGACATTCAAGTGCCAATTCAATCAGCATAGGTTTGCAAGAGCGTGGCAAGACAATAGGTGGTTTTAGGCAACAATAAAGCCTGTAACAAGATATCTAAAACTTCAGATACCATCATTGGTTACTCTTCGGGATCTTACCCAAACTGCCATCCTTCATGAGTATTAACTGGCAATTCAACCATGGTCAGCATCACAAACCCAATTCTGGCCGTTTTGAGTTGAAATGGCCTCTGTAAGCATATTTAACAACCGGGGCACATGATAGCTTTCAGAAGCAGGAAATATTTCTGTATATGGATAATTAGCTGAATAGTACTACTCGTATCACTGCCCAGATTCATTCAGTAAACGACTAAAAAATAAGAGATCAAACATTGGTCCTGGTCTGCATGCTTCAGTTTCAAATCACACAATACCAAGAGTCAGAAGGAAAGGAAAGAGCTGACCATACAAGTTTAGTAGCAGGAATAAAAAGGAATAGAGGATATTCATTGTATGTAACATCATGTTTAAAAAAGAGAAATAAGACTTCCATTTAAATTGCATCCTTAGTGATGAGGATATCCTAAACACTTTATAGCCACTGAAGTGCTTTTAGTAGTCACTGATGTACTGTAGGAAACATTGTAGCCAGTTTGTCAAAGTCACACAAAAATCAATATGATATTGATCATGTGATGCTGAAGGAAGAATAAACATTGGCCAGGACCCCAGAGAGTACACCATTGCTTTTCTTCAAAACAGTGCCATGGATTTTTTTAGAATGTCCATCTTAGAGGGGAGATTAGGTTTCCATCAGTGGCTGAGCTTTCAGCTGCCTTGGCTTTGTACGCTGCAATTTTCTCCATTAAACCGTTTTACATCTCGATCTCTCACTCTTCAAGAATGCTCCTTGATCATCTGTTCTCAGATTCCTCAGCGTGATAAATTTTATTTCCAACACGCTTGCTAAATACCTTGGTACACTTTGCTATGTTGAAAGGTACCATATTAATACAAGCTACTGTTAATATCTCCTGCAAAATACTAGCACCAGTTTCACATTTTCCAACACAAGTAAAGTCAGGCAAAGCTAAATGCAAACTAAAATAATCAAGAAATAGAAGATTTGAGAAATCCACCAGAGTTTTACTTGGCTTGTCTTATTAGCGTGCCGTTTAGTTACCTTCTATGAAGTACCATGAATCAGAATGAAGGCTTACCATTCCTGAATAATCGCTGCTGCCAAGTTAATTTTGCACAAAATTCACATCTAAGCCAACCAGACTAAATTATGGATGGACTTAGAATTTCTTCACCATCATACATAACTGGCAATAGACAGCAACGGCAAGAATTACATGGGTAAATACATGCTCATATAGTTACACAATCATCGCTTGGGGCATTTGCTTTTTTATGTGATAACCCTCCTTTCAGAATTTCTGAATCCTGAGCAAATTCTAATATTCTTTCATTCAAACAGACCAGGCAGCATCTCCAAATCACATAAGTAGAAAATTACTAAAATTACGTATGCTCACATTTAAATGTCTAAGATTGGACTGGGTCAAAAGAAAGCAGGGGATTCTGTGCCAGCAAAACTACGCAAGCATTTTTAACTCCGTTTGTTTCCTTTAGATCAATTAATGCAGTCTGGAGCCAAGGCCAGTGCGGACTGGAGGCTAGGTGCCAGCGTGGTCTGGTTTGGAAGAGCATTGTTCCAAAATTTTTTTTCTGCAATAGTGGACTTTTTATTTCTCTATTTTCTAAGACATGAAACGGCGCTGTAAGTGGCGACTCAAACCTTTCACTGTACTCATTTGAGTACATATGGCCATAAAGCCACAGTAAAGCTATAAGTTCTAATATGAAAGTAAACTGACTTAAGTTTCAAGTAATTGTTAGGGTCTCTACATTATTTAATTTTGTCTTTCTCTTGCACATTAGACTATTGACTTTAGTTTGAATCATGCTATCAAAGGAAATTTAAGAGTTTATTCTGTATCAACTGGAATGGAGCTGGATGCATTGACTTCAAAAACTGAGAAGTGAAATAGATGGCTTTGCACATTCATGCTTCAATGTTTAATACTATTGTGCTGCTGCTCCTGCTACAGCTGCAATGTTTAAATTGGCTGTCCAAAAATTTATGACAAAAACATTTATATGGAACATACTTCACAATCAATG